ATCTGTTTATTTGCGTGTATGTATTTGTGTGTCCCAGGGCCCCTTCGGTTTCGCCCCACGGGGCGGAGGGGCGTTGGGACCCAGCGGCGCAACGCCTCGGTGCTGGGACAGCGGCGGCGCGCCGCTCGGCGGCGCTTGCCCGGCTCGCCGGGCGGCGGCCGACAGGGCGCCGAGCACGCGCTGCAGATCGACCGTTGCGCGGGCGTCGGGCGCCGCGCGTCGCGCAGGGCATCGGCTGCTGCGGGCGGGCGTTCCTCGCGCCTCCTGGGGCCAGGTTCGGGCGTTTCGCGGGGGGGGCGGCTCGGCTGTCATCATCAGCAGCAGCAGTATCATCTCATTCCACGTCCGAACCTCCCCCCATCCCATCCTCGTTCCTCCCTCGCCCTCCCCTGATTACCTTCCCTCGCCTCCCGCCCCGTTCTTCCCATCCCGCGCCTCTGCTCCCAGTCACCCTCACCCTCCCCTCGTTTGTCCTACTTTCCAATTCTCCCGACCTCCCTCTCTCTCTCTCTCTCTCTCTCTCTCTCTCCCTCTCGTATTCTTTTTCTATATCTAGAGAGGGAGCTCTTTCCGCCCGTCCTAAGACTCGTTTCCTTCTCCTCTCCCCCCAGATTCCCTCTGCACTGCCCCTCGTTCCTTCTCCCCGTCTCCTTTTCACGCGCACCACCCCCCTCGCCCCGCCGTCGTCCTTCCATGCGTCCCTCTCCCCCCCATCCCTCCCGCCCTCTTGCCCCTCCTCCTCCTCCTCCTCCTCCTCTTCCTCCTCCTCCTCCTCCTCCTCCTCCTCCTCTTCCTCCTCCTCCTCCTCCTCCTCCTCCTTCTCCTCCTCCTCCTCCGTGGCCATCTTGGCTCAAGCCATCTTGGCTCAAGGGGCGCAGCCCGCGGTAGCCTCGACGAGATGGGGAGACATGGCAGCTGCCGAGGAGGCCCCATGCGCCAGGTTCGCGCCGAGAGGGCGGCGACGAGCAGACGCTCCAGGCGGCAATGGGGGCGGCGGCGCAGGCGGTGGTCTGGGCCGCGCTGGAAGCCACCCGCCCGCAGCTTGGAGTGCCAGAGCCGTCGTGGGCCCCCGTCAGGCCGTCAAGAAAGCCCTCCCCCAAACGGCCGTCGACGGCGGCCAGGCAGCAGCCTGCGCTGCAGGACCGCGGGCGGGGCCCCAGCCTCGGGCCGCCTCCGGTCGAATCGGAGCTGCTTGCGAGGCTGACGGCAAGGAGGGCCTGTCGCCCTTCTCCCGGCGAAGCAGCTGCGTACCCGCCAAGAAGGACAAAAAGTCAAAGGAGGGAGCGAACGACAAAAAGGACAAGAAACACACCAAGGATGGCAATAACGACAAAAAGCAGCATCGCTACTCGAGCACCCACGAGACAGCGTAGTGGGTTGTATTTCCGCGGAGGAGCTGTCCAAGTTGCTGATCTGGGGGTTAAATGGCATGAAGGAGAATACGGGGAGCACCCAGTTCTTCTATTTCGGCGGCGACACAGATGCGGCGCAGAAGACGAACGGGAAGGACCTGGATGGGGGGGACTGGAGCCAGAGTGAAGGGTCTGTCATGGAGTCCAGCTCCGCATTGGAGTTCGTGCACGGCAAGTTTATCGAGTACATGTTCAAGAAGGGGTACGGGTTCGTCGACATCGGATGGCGGCGGCGACAATTGTGCAAATCAAGAACAACCCGATCCTGGGCAGCGTCGAGGTGGGTGCTGCAGTACAGGTGAGGATTATAAATTCTGTTGGTGTCAGGCGTTACGGCGTGGAGTTGACGCCGGCGGAGGACACAGCAGGCGATCGCCGCTACGACGATCCTGGCATTTTCTGGCATGGAGCAGACGCGGGAGGACGAGGCTGCTGGCGACAAGCGCTCCAGCATGAAGTTGGCGTTGGCGGAGGACGCCCGGGCATCGGAAAGAGGAGCATCACCCAGTGCGACGACGACGGCGACGTTTGCGTTGACCTTCTGCGGAGGCGGAGGCACGGGCTCCAGCGAGGACCCGTCGTTCGCTTTGCGGGAGAAACTGAGCGAGTGGCAGGCCTTCCCCGAGAAGCTGGAGGGCGCCCCGTGCGGATGAGGCAATTAGGCCGATCGACCTCTCAAGACCGCGCTGGCTCGCTTCGGTTTGGGGGGCCGTGGGGCCCGTTTTCCTTTTGCGGCGGGTCACCACCGCTGGGCGTTGCTCGAAAATGTGTTCCAGCCCGCTCGGCCTCCCGCTGCCGCGCCGTAGACTGGGGCGGCGCGGCCTGCGCGCCAGGGCCCGCCGGCGTGGGCCGCATTATCAGGACCCTCCACCTCTTCCTCCTCCTCCTCCTCGTCCTCATCCTTCTCCTCCTCTTCCTCCTTCTCCTCCTCCTCCTCCTGCTCCTCCTCCTCCTTTTCCTCCTCATCCTCCTCATCTTCCTCGTCCTCCTCCTCCTCTTCCTCATCCTCCTCCTCCTCCTTCTCCCCCTCCTCCGTCCTCCTTCATCCTCCTCCTCCTTCTCCCTCCTCCTCCTCCTCCTCCTCCCCCTCCTCCTCCTCCTCATACTCCTCTTCCTCCTCCTCCTTTCCTCCTACTCCTACTCCTACTCCTACTCCTCCCCTTCTTCCTCCTGCTCATTATCAGCATCATCGCGATCATCATTCGCAACCTCATACTCATCTTCAGTATCCTCCAATTTGTTCGTTGCTCGGACTTCATGCTCGAGCACCTCCTCCACCTCCTCCTCCTCCTCTTCCTCCTCCTGTTCCTTCTCCTGCTCCCTCCTCCTCCTCATCTCCTCCTCCTCCTCCTCCTCCTGCTTCCTCCTCCTTCGTCCCTCCTCGTCCTCCTCCTCCTCCTCCTCCTCCTCTCCTCCTCCTCCTCTCCTCCTCCTCCTCCCCTCCTCCTCCTAGCCTCCTCCCCCGCAGTTCCCTCCTGTTCCTCCTCCTCCTCCACCCCCTCTTATCCCTCCTGTTCCCTCCTCCTCCTCCTCCTCCTGCTCCTCCTCCTCCCCCTCTTCC